AGCGAGTGGCGTTATCGATGGGCGGAACACAGATAGATGCGTAGAAGTGCGTGAGTCTTTGTCAATGAATATTGGACGGCCGGCGCGACGGGCACTAGTGGATGTTGTGCAAGTGCAAGCGAGCAGAGTTATCGATGAGCGAAACACAGTAGATGTGTAGCAGTGCGTAAGTGTCTATCAATGAATGTTAGACGGCGCGGCGGGATACAGTTTAAACCTTGCCGTTTATGCAATCTTAGTAGCTTGTGCCGTAATACTGTTTATGTTGTATTTTTTTTTCTTTCACTCACGGTATCTAGGCTGGCTGCAATTTAGCTCCTCAACTGATATGCACTCCTATTTTTCTTATTAATATTCTTAAACAATTTAAATACAAAATGTAGTTACAATTAAGAGCGACACAGATTTTAGATGCACACGTCTGTGCTTCACAGAGATCCGGAGGGGAGAGGTACCTTAATACTTGTTAGTTGTACGCACAGTAACATTATACAGACTACAGATTTTAAAAAAATCCTTATATCCATCATTTTACGTCCAAGAAATGCTTAACGTACGTACGAAATCACTTCACTGTTTACGAGTAGTCCTATCGAAATTAGAGCTTTAGTAACGAGACTAATGAGTGATGTGCGAATCTATATTTTTTTTAAATTTTATATTTAGTTTTTGGACTATTTATTATTTAATTTTTGGTTCTGAAGCTCCTCGATCTGGGGAGGGCAGCTGCCCCCCTGCCCGTACCTGGCTACGCCCATGTGTGCGAGGGTTGCTCGACACACCTTGGCTCCACTATGAACAAGGGAGGCCAAAATGAGTGTGTGCGAGGGTTGCTCGACACACCTTGGCTTCATGGTCAAAGGCTTATGATAATCAAACGGGATACGCGGAAAGTGTCCTATGCCAATCATGAAATGTTATGTTAAATGAGTAGAAAATCGAAGTGATTGTATATGTGAATATTGATGTGTGTGTACATATAATGTATAGGTATTAATCATGGCGAGGAAGATGCTTGGTGTCTTAACTCTGAGATTCATAGTATAATTTCTTTATACAGGTTCCTTGATGATCATTGTTAATAAGTACGCCATATACTCCAAGATATAACAGATTTATTGAATACTTGTTACACGTCTTATTAATTTATTATGAATCAAGATATTATAAAAATGGTTACATATTTCAAGAGCCAGAGTCAAAGTAAAGATCACACAGGTTAGCATAACTTGACTACATAATAGCCACAGACTAAAAGCATCTATTAAGCTGTACTACACAGAACAATCATGACAATTGACGATGGGAATAAATTTGGATTAAATTGAACTAAGTGAAGCAGATATCTATGGCAAATTTAACACAAGGCAGAATAAGGTATGAATCATTAATATAACTTGCACTAGTATAGTAACATGTTTAAATTGTTCAATGCCGAAAGTATGAATAATCGCAGTCTGTCTCAGTCCATTGTACACCCTGTTGGTGTGGGTTGTAGACAGACGATGAGACATGTGTGGTTCTGTGTGGTGTCTGGTTGAACCTCTAAAGAATGTGTCAGTATTTGGTAGTAGTTAATATACTTCATTGCACTACGTGTAAAGATAGAATCAGACAACCACACAGAATGCCCACATGGTCTCTACGCGACACATGGACCATTAATGCTATGATTAAAGTGTATAATCCGAACGCACCTTTATATTCAATTTGACATATTCTCATTTCCCAACCACGATTACTAAGAGAAAGTAGGAGTATGTTCCCAACTAAGTAGTCTCGAACCTACCTATTTATCGGTATTTCTACCGATATGGACTCTGTCCTACCGAAATGCAATGTTTTACCACGATTTCTTAGAATACATGGAAATTGTCCCGATTTTTCTACCGACTTTATTCATACATACATTTATTTACAAGTAACATGATACATTAAATAGATTTTACAATAAATATGAAGCTCAAACATTATTCGCATATTTTTCCAGCGCATAAGCCTCGCCATTCAGCGGGGAAATGCCGCCAGCGTCCTGGGAACCTTTGCCGACGGGGAAGACCTAGGGCAGCTATTTTTTTAATATTTTTAATATTTGTATAGTTTTAGTATAGTTTTAGTTTAATATTTGCCATGTTACTTATTTATACTATCCCTTAATAAATTATCTGCTAGATTACTATGTATTTACTTAATTAATTCGCTAAATTAACATGCATATATCAAATTATTTTATAATAAATCCAAGTAATATTAATATTGTAATTAATCACATTAATGTCAATCATATCAAAAAAATAATTCATTTAAACATGTCAATTAATCATCACATACGAGTATCATCACATTATACATGTCAACAAATCTATATTATTATTGAATAATACAAAGCACCGCCAAAGATGGGGGGCGACACAGGGCGAGCCAAGGCGCAAAGATGTGGCTATGCAAAAAGTTGAGCACTCCATGAGCGTACCGATATTCGCGGAAGGCAGTACCTGCACGATTTTACCACATTTGTACAAATGAATAAATGAATTATGCAGCCATAGACCAGACTCCCACTCGCCAACGGCTAAGAGACGCGCACGGTTTGCGGGACTGCTAGCTGAATCTACAAGCGCATTGCGTTTCAGCCTGCAGAGTGGCGCGTCCCAAAGTCGCTGGGAGGCAGGGTCCGTCGGGATGTCACGTCGGTGTCAGGGCAGGCTGCACTCCAGGCTGCTACGGCTTCATCTAGAAGCGAGAACAAGGACACGCTCAAAGGACGCCCAAGTATTTTCGCAACGAGTGGTTCGGTAGAGTGTATGGAAGAAATGAAGGCCGGAGGGAGACGTCCGAAGTGTTGCGTACACCCAAACCACCGAACCTAACTGGGAGTGATGCTTGGGTCCAGGAACGGAGGTCATTTAGAACAGAGGTCATTTAGAACAGAGGAGAGAGTATGTCTTATGACACCGTCCAAGTTTGTTAAGAGAGAGGGTAAGGAGACCCGGCACTTTTCATAGAAAAAAATGGGTGCGTGTACTTATGTAGGCGCGTGAGAAGTTATCCTTCTTTGGCATCGTTTAAAATTAGTTTTTAATTGCATGCAAATAATTAATTACAATAAATTAATAAAAAGTCTGGAAAAGGACACAGTCAATAAAGTTCAGTTTTAATTTGAAAAAATAAATAAATAATCAACATATTCAATTAAAATCGCTACTGAATATAATTTATTAGAACATATGTGATTTGCACTTGTATGAAACTCAAACACGTATTCCGAATATACAAACTAGAAACATGTGGATAAATATTATAAATATGAATACCTATAACTGTTACTTTATTACAAAAAATAAAGATGTGGTTTTTGGTTCTACTACACCAATGGTCAAGAGATGGCGCTGTAGTCTCCTGAATCGCGCTTTGGTCCCGTTGTTCCAGATTAATAAATACTTTTGATATTATAAATATGAATACCTATAACTGTTACTTTATTACAAAAAATAAAGATGTGGTTTTTGGTTCTACTACACCAATGGTCAAGAGATGGCGCTGTAGTCTCCTGAATCGCGCTTTGGTTCCGTTGTTTCAGATTAATAAATACTTTTGATAGGCCTTCACAATGCAGTCGTTAGCACCCACTAAATAGAGATTCTATTTCGATTTTGTTGGTAGATTTTCTTAATGTGCGGTAAACACCAAAGTAACATCATGAAGTTGGTCGCTAAAGCGACCAACTTCATGCTGTTAAAATTGTGTGTTACAGTGATGCGCGCGCATCTTAAAATTTCACTCTCATTTTTTCATAACGCGCCTAAAGAAGTATAACTTCAAAAATGCTAAACTTGTATACAGTTGAATTTCGTCTCAAAATAAAGCCAAAATTATTTGCTACATAAAACTACTTTTGCCTTATTTTTAGTGAATCGTGGAAAGAAGTTATTTAATGATTAATATTTTTTGAGAAACCCTAAATTTGAAGATTTAGGGTTTCTATATGGGACAGAATTTTACTTCAAAATATTACTCAAGTGACTGTTTCCTTTGCTTTTTCTAAATAAAAAACCAAATGTCAATTTGACAATCCTAAAATACAAACAAAAAAATTATTCGCATTTCGCATCCGCTCCCGCGTACTGTGATTGTGAATTTTCTCTGCTGTGATGGCCTTTTTTTGCGTTATTTCTCTTGACGACCCGGCTACATATATCACACCGACTCTCTTTCTTACTTCCACATATAATAGATTCAATTAATCATTAATTGATTATGATTATTGTATTCTATTCTATTTTGTGAAGAATAGTGATAATTACATTTATTTTCTTTGTATTTAGAGGTTATATTGACAAACTACGTATTTGACATTGACAGCTAGCTAGCTGCTGATGACAAATATTGCCAGACTACGTTACCCAATTATGAAACACAGATAAAAAAGTATACAACTTTGGCACAAAATGCCGGGTGTCCTTTCCAAAGTGGACAGCATCGTAAGACATACGTAAGGGACGAAAAGACAGTACCGGATTATGACATAAGCCATTTGGCAGTTAATTTTGAGTAAAGGTTCAAAAACTTCTTCATATTTTTTTAAATTTTGATCTATGATTGATTGATTTTACAGTAAGTATGGATGATTAGTTATTCAATTGCTAAAAGTGAGATATTAACAAAAAAACATATCGTGATGACTATATTATTTTTTCTGCACCTTAATAAATTTTAAAGGAATATAACCGTCAATTGATTTTCGGAAATATGCGCGAATAATACTAAAAAGAAAATATAGTGACGAATTGAGAAAACCTTCTTCCGTTTGGAATCGCTAAATTAGTAACGAAATAATTAGTCTGTAAGTTTTTCTTTGATTTTGATAAATAAATCAAACGAATTTTAATTATTGTATTTATTGTCATATACCGATTTTGGGTACAAATATACCGATTTTATAGGGCAGCTTTACCGATTTTTGGTAATGACGTTCGAGATCACTGTCCATAGATAGATAGGTAGACTCGCCTGTAGTAGTGTCATGTCATGTCACTATTTTCAATTTCAAATTTTCGAAGATATTTTACATTGTCTTAGTAATCTGTGATTTCGAAGATTTGGGTAGAAAACCTGTGTTTAGTGGCGTTCGAAGGTAAATAAATAGTCCCTACTTTATTGATCAATGTTTAGGTAATTGGTGATTCAACGTGTTGTATTGTATTTTCATTTTTCAATGTAGACTAGTAAGATGTCTTCACCACGCCCGAAATCACCTCGTACACCCGTTTTGCCTAAAAAAGAAGACAAGGAGGAATCTATTTGGGATAAACTCGGCACCATTGGACGTAAAAAACGCATTAAAGAAGGTATGTAATATGTAAAATCCTGTATTTCTGTATTTTTGTAAACATTTGTTAGATCGTTTTTGCGTAGGATGATTATGCCATTGCTCCAGCCACCATGACCTAAAAACCACAATGACGTCATTTTCTTTAAATAAAGGTATTCGTCATTATAATAATATCATTATTGCAGTTCAAGAAGTTCAAGCAGAAGGTAAATATGCCATTGATTCGCCTGGAAGTCCCAATGCTCCAGAGATACCACCAGAGGAATATAGTTTGCGTAAGTAATTTCCACACACACTGCAATAATACCTTTAATATGGCCTGACTTTCTAATTATAGACATGATGGTAATAAAAAAATATTCTCTCACAATAATCTTTACACTATCATTGTTACAACAATAATCAATAGATTGAATGACAACTCCACACAGATAATCCTCCAAACTTTTACATTAAACTATAAATTTTGATTACTGTTAATAGTTTTCATTCAAACATGTATTTATTTATTGAGAATTTTCATGATAAGAATTTATTTTCTGCTCTCCCATTATTCTGTCAGGTGAACTATACACCGTGTTCCTGAGGTTATACACTAGCTTTGGCATGTTATTCAGACTATTAAATTGATCATTTTTTACTATGGACACTTATGAATTCCAATTTTTTTATCATTTTTTATTTTCATACAAACTAAATGCTTAGATGTAATTTATCTAATATGAATTACTCTTTACCTGAGCTGGCAACGTCTCATTTGAAACCTTGGTTCACATGCAATCTCTTAATTTATCATTTGCAACTTTGAACTTGGAAAGATGTTTTTTTATATTTAAGACTATCAGGTTGATTTAAGTACTCATTTGTCATCACTAGGAATAATCTCTTATCTATTAGACAAGTCCGTCCGTCCGTCCGTGGTGCTGTTTCAGCGGCCAAACCGTAAGAGATAGATAAAGAGAATATTTAAGTTATAAGTTAAGAATAGTCTGATAAGACTACAAACCGGATTTGAGTAACGTAGCACTTCCGGTTTTCGAGAAATCAGGTTTTGGTGAACATTTGGTTCACTGGTTTGCTAGTTTGTTGTAATCTTATTAAGTATTGAATTCATTTTGTAGATGATAATGAAGAAAGGGCTATTATTGAGCCAAGATCACTTGAAGATCCAAGGGTAAAGGAACTTATTCAGGTCCTAATAGATTGGATAAATGATGAGCTTGCCGTACAAAGAATCATTGTAAAGGACATCAGCGAAGATCTCTATGATGGGCAAGTCTTACAAAAATTGTTGGAAAAATTAACGGAGACTAAATTAGATGTGCCTGAGGTGACACAATCAGAAGACAGCCAGCGGAAAAAACTTGCAGTGGTGTTGAGCGCTGTGAACAGAGTGAGTTGTCTTTGCTCATGCTTTAATAATTTAAATCAGGTTAGGAAGCAAAAGTCAGCAGCAGCGTTGGGTACTGGTGTCATAAATGGTCACCTGCAAAGAAAATCCAGAATCCTACCCAAACTTTCTTTCGCTCTCCAGTGTGTTATGGGCTGGCATACTGGCGAAGGCTGCAGGGTTTTAAAACTTCATGTTTGTAAGGTTAAGTAAGAACTGTGTCCAAAAGGAACTATGAAAAACAGCAAAGCTAGTGTTTTAATGAAACCCTTTTACAAAGTCTACGATTTTAAAGTAAATGGTACTTGTTTTTAGGTTTTATTTGGATCTTCTAGACCTGTGCAGAAATGGAGTGTGGATTCAGTTCATTCGAAAAATATAGTATCTATCTTACATTTATTGGTGGCACTTGCTCGTCATTTCCGTGCACCTATTCGTCTACCTGAAAATGTCAGTGTCAACGTTGTTGTTGTTAAGAAGGATACATCCAATCAACTTTCACACAGGTAGTAATAGGTATCATCCTGAATCCAGAGATTTCCTTTAATATATTGCTTTTTCTAAAACTATTTCGGTTCATAGGACTTATATAGAGGACATCACTACAACCTATGATGATCTTGGAATGAAATGTGAAAGAGATGCTTTTGATGCCCTCTTTGATCATGCACCTGACAAGCTGCAAGTTGTAAAAAAGGTATTTATTGATTTATTCAGAAATTTAGTACACACAAAAAAATAAAAACAATGATTTAATATAAATCTAAAATTTTAAAATTTACATTTAAAATATCTGTTTTCTTTGCAGTCCCTCATTACTTTTGTGAATAAACACTTGAGCAAAGTTAATCTGGACGTAACTGATTTAGATACACAGTTTCATGATGGAGTGTATCTTTGCCTTTTGATGGGCTTACTGGATGGATTTTTTGTACCTTTGTATGATTTTCACTTAACACCACAAGACTTTGACCAAAAAGTCCACAATGTATCATTTGCCTTTGAGCTGATGCAAGATGTAGGTCTTGCCAAACCTAAAGCACGCCCTGAAGGTATTACTGTTATGAATCTATATATATTGAATATAATGCACTTGAATCTAATCACTGTTATTTTTTACAGATATTGTGAATCTCGATTTAAAATCAACTCTGCGAGTTCTTTATAATCTATTTACCAAATACAAGGATATGGCCTGAGAAATAGATCTGTGACAATTAATTTGTGTTCATTACTAACAGTTATTAATAAAAATATAATAGTATAAAATGTTTAAGTATTGTAATGTATGATGTTGCCTGAATATGAATTACTAATAATGGAGTAAGAAATAATTATATTTAACTAACATATTCTGTGTTTTATTTCCAAGTACTTCTATTCTTGTAGTCAAGGCGAAATCAATGGAATAGCAAAGTGCTTGCAAATTACTAATGGTATTCGCATGTGGAGATATTAGATAGGATATACAAAGAGTCTCAGATGGTGGCGCAGCAGAGTGACGTTAGCCCAGACTTATTTATTACTTGCTGTATTGCTCTCCAGTTAGTATGTTTTCGCTTCGGGATCCGGTACTCTATTTTTGAATCGTGACGTCCGTGCAGCGCAAGTTGAACCGAGGCGATTACCTTACGATCAGGGCAGGTTTTAGTACTACCTGCGCCCTAGGCGAGATTTCTGTGGCGCCTCCTAACTGTAATTTAAACCCATACGGCCAAGGATATAATGAAAATACCCATAAAATTTTACTTTTCTAGCTTTATCACAGGCGAAATCTTTTATTGTTATCAAAGTCGGATGTTTTCTGCAATTTCATTTTTGTTGACCAAGTTGCCACTGCCGGATTTAGGGGAGGGCAACCGGGGCGAAAGCCCCGGGGCCTCCACAATAGGGACTTCGGAAAAAAAAATCTTTCAAATTCCAACTAGTAACCACTAGTAAACACCTTTTCCTTTGATATTTTTTTTTTGCTCTTTTACCTTTACCTACAGCCTACAGTACTTTGTACATCTAACATACATGATTATTTGATTATATTAATCTCAGGGCCGAATTAAAGGCAGGGCAGGTGGGGCTGTGGCCCAGGGGCCTCCAGAACAGCTTAATAACAAAATTTCGATGGGTCAACAAGCATGAAAATCCTTAGTGGCCGGGGCCTCCACAACAGGATAAAAGATAACAAAATTTCGATGGGTTAACAAGCATACAAATCCTAAGCGGCCCGGGGCCTCCACAATCCTTAATCCGGCCCTGCAAGTTGCCAAGTTTGTCAATCTAGATTGAGATATATCGTTTACAGACCGTGTTCACAGATAGGTTTTTATCAGTTTAAGCCTACTATTACTATTTTTCACCTTTCGTGTTTAAAATTTTTAGATAAAACAAATTGTTTCTGGTTTTCTCCACCAAAACCTGTCCTGGCGCAAACTGGCTCTATCAAGTATACCTAAGTTATCACAATAAAAATCCGACTAAGATTAGTAAAGCACCATAGAAGTGCATTGATTTTTCTGCGTAAATGGAGAAAATCTACAGAAGTTTGGTAATCCCAAGACTGTTACCTTGAAATAGACCCTTTCGAATCAGCAAACACTTCATAAGAAAAAATTAAGTCTGTGGCCATAGAGACAGCAAAAGAGTTAGCATAGGGTACAGGGTAGGACCTACAAATTAAATCCGAATAAATGAGCGATGAAACGTTGTCTGGCAGATATGCCAGAAGCAAGCTTCGCGGAAAGCGGGCTGGGCTCTGTGTATGGCCGAAAACAATCCTTACCGCTCCATAGACTGCAGGCGAGATAAAAATGTTTCAATCAATTTCTTATGTCTGGAGATAGAGCGATACGAAAACCATTGGCATAATGAAGGTTTGCAAAGCCTAGGAATGGAGTAGGTCGGCATGCTGAGGAAGTATTCATGAAGGTTCCTTTAGAAAAACCTACTTGGATAGTGAGAATAGCCGAGGCGAGGTCTTGGATTCGGTGGTCTCTTTTTGCGAGGAAGTTATCTCGCAAAAGGTGGCCGCTGAGATGGTTCGGGAAGAGCATGCTCACGCGGACTCTTCGCCGCCGGAGGGTGACGGTTGCGTTGCACAGGCCTCTGTTGTTAGGTGGGGATGCCAATGCAAGTTGGGTGGGTCCCTTCGACTCGGACACTCTGGAGTCTGGCCGGGTACTCATTAGCGAGCTGTATCCGTAACCGTTACATGCACTGTTACCAAAATACATAGTGTGTACGTGGTTTGCTAACCTGCTGCGAGCGGTACGAGTGCGGTTTGCAGCGAGCCGACGTTTACAATTGACCTACAAGCGTACACACTAGAACCTCTTGTTGTATCACGCATGTTACGGTTACAGCTCGCTAATCACTTTCCGTGGCCTCACCCAGTGCCTTTGACTCGCCGAACGGGATACCGCCTGATCGTGGATCTTACGCACGACGAGGTGACGCGACCCATTGGTCAGGTGAGGGTCATCGTCAGGTTTTAGTAGGTAGGGCCATTTCCCAGAGCCAGACTGATCGCACCAGCCAGACTGCTGCTCGACATCGATCTGTGAATTTTCCCCAGTCTGGCCTAATCCAGATCTGTTATAACACCGTTTTTCCATCGCCTTTAAATCTCGTCCGTTAATCAACAGGGCGCACCACGAGTAGGTGAGGATGGCAGTTGGGGCGCTGAGGTGGTGGGTCACCCCCCGACCGCATGATGTAGGGATGTCGAAAGTAGAAAAAAATATCGATATATCGATACATCGATATTTTAAAAAATATCAATATCGGCTTCGATATATCGCGAAAAAAACATCGATATATCGATATATCGGACCAATTTTCCCAAAAATATCGCTCACGAAATATGACACGCGGAATAATAATGGAACGAAAATTATCTCCCTAAAAATAGACCCTATTTTCGAATGATGACATAGACAATACTAAATACCGCACAGATCATAGATATGTTGTATATCATTAATCTGAGATCCAGTTACGATTTTTCCAGATACGAATTTAGTTAGATCGTGATATGCCGCTAATAATTAAAAAAATATCGTTTTTGATACGAATTTCGATATTGGTTATTTTGTATGACGAAAATGTATCGACGCTGCACCCACGTCCGCCACGGCTTAAACTACATTTGTTTAAAAGGTATTATAGTCATGATCATCTGTGCCAAAGCGCATCAAATTCCATCCCGGGGGTCTTTAGTTATTTGAAGTTAAATAGGTACAAGTACTATAACGAACGAACATTAATAAAACAATGGAATTAATTTAGTTAGTTCGACTCTACATAGAGGGCTCAGGTATTATGCGAGTACTTCACAAGGAGCAAGGGTGCCCCCTTATATTATTCTGCCGCGATAGAGTAAATCCTAAAATCCCTGCATAGGTTGGGGTTTTTTCAAACATTCTGTTCGTTATAGTAAATTGTCTTCTTTGTAAAACGGAGCGACCATAAATAACACAAGCTTGTCCACGCTTCCATGAAAAGAAAAGAAAAGACAAAATTAACTTAAGTTTATTTCGTGGTATCAAAATTTTAATAAATATTTTAGTTGATTAGTTTATTTATTAATACTAAAGGTTTACTAGTAATGTGGATATTTAATGAAACAACATATAAACAGAGTAGTTTTATTTACTAAAATACATGACGTTACAGGTTTTACTAATAATACCAATAAATACACGATAAGAAAATACAAAAAATCACTGACACATGTCTTTCCTTTCCGCAAATTTTGCAGATCCGATCTCAATTACTGTATTTTAATGAATTTAGTTAGTGGAAGAATCACGACGGCAGAATGAAAAATTAAAAGATCAATAAATGTTATCGAGTCTCGTTTAAAATTTTTAAATATATAATTCAGAAAAATGTGGAGAAAGCTATGAAATTATTTATGAATTCAATTTAAAGTGATCAAACAACACTTGAACTTAAAAAATAACATACCACCTAACTATAGTCCCTCCATCATATTGCGTACTGGTTGACTATGAATGTAGTGATTCTGATTTACAAGTATATTAAAGTATAAAAATTCTACAAATTATATGTAAATAAAATAAACAATAATTCATTACATTTTTTCTTAAAGGTGACACTTTGCTATTGCACATTTTTATTTACTATAAAGTAGTTAGCATGTAGGTAACGCAGACATAAATTTGCTTTTCTCAGCATAATATTGATTTAAATGATATAGACATTTCATACTTCTCACCAACAAATTAAAAAATAAAATCTGGAGTACTTCATTAAATCACGAAGTAGGAAACCTATAACGCTAATACTTTTATGGACATAAAAATGATGATGAATAAAATTATAAAGCTGCAGAGCGAATTGTCAAGAACAATAGAAAAATATTGTTTATACCAAACCAGTTGCAAATAATAATCCATTAACATTTGCTCTTAATATCATATCCCCATTGAAAGATGGGGCTATCGTAAGCTTATTTAGGTACTAAGCAGCAGTTACTTTAACCTAGGTATCTATTATCATTTAGCTAAAACAACCAGGCAATATTTTTTTTATTACCTCTGTGCAGGCAATTTTTATAAGTCGTTGTTTACTTTGTGTATGCTCATGACCCTTGGGCGGCGTCCCAATATGTAGGTACAACGGCTTAGAAAATAAATAACATTTTTATAAAAGTTGAATAACCTAAGAACAAATTAAACAAGAATTTAATATACATACTTGCATCTGTTACAGCTTATTAAAATCCATTAACTGCCATTATTCTGAACTGACATATTCGTTAATTCCCTGGTCTGTGTAGCCCTCCAAGTTGGTTTTCACAGCCGGAAAATAAAAATAAAATCCGGCCTGTAAAAACCATTACTTAATATGATCAAACGCAAAATATGAAAAATGAAAATAATTTTCTCAACTCGTGGCAGAAATCATCCACTTACACAGAAGAATACATTACCTTTACACGAACGAATGCTTTTTCACCATAGTGCAGCACGGCTATCGTGGCCTGGTCGTCGGTCGTGTTGCTCTAAGTCTTTCACGCATGATAGTGTTTTGTGTGGAAAAGAGCGAGCATAGTAAAGATAGAATTATAGAAAGTTTTTGGCTAGTCAGTTTTTCAAGATATCATTTTTTTCACCGAAATGAGTATTCAAATACATAAACTTTAATTTTATTCAAACTTAGTGCTAATAAAATCATTATATTTAATAAGTACATACACATTAATTATATAGTCAATTCATTCGAGCTCGAGCACAAACATTAATAAACATCTAGAAATAAAAGAATAAAATAAGAATCGTGGTCAACAATTTCTATTAAACCAACCAAATATTTTGAATTGTTTTTAAAATCACTTTATATTATAGACTTCAAGTGATCGTTTGGAGTATAATAAAAAAACCCGCAACACAAGCGCGTCTGAAGAATATTTTAATAAATAAGTAATATAATAAATGGAATGTACACGTTCATATAACAATAATTTCAGTGGTTTGCAGCTATGAAGACCAAGAAGTCTTTAATTTTTTCTCAAGTTTATCCTTAAGTTTATTTATGATTCATCATGTTGTTTACTTTATAAAAATAACTCCATTTTGTTATTTCATGTAAGACAGTAGCAAATTATATGTGCGGCATGCACACAGGTGCTTATATAAATAGCGGAAAGCAATTGACCAGTATTATTGGTCAAACGCTAATTTTTGCGAACAAGAATTTGGAAGTAAATAATATTAAAATTAATGAACAATAGCAGCGAAATGATGATTGCTTACTCTATGGCGGGGTTCATAATACGATTTTAAGTTTTTAACATCAATACCTAAACCATTCACAAACAGGTCTACGTTAAGCTAGGTGATTAAAACTGTCCCTCTACCTTAGTTAATTTTCACAACCCTAGGGTTCTACATTTATTTTCCCTTCTACGTACGATCTTTTGTATTGCAAAACAGTATAAATATTTAAAATATGTATTGAGGACGGCCAAAAAAAGGAACGTGGACAAAGTAGCAACTACTTAACAACCCACGCCACGGTGATTCTACTGTTCTTTTTTTATATTATAGGTGGAATATTATACCTCCTCTTATTATATCCTACTGTCACTTAAAGATTATCAAAAATCGGCACTCTATCATAATTTTGCTCAGAGGTTACATATAAATTGGGCATTGATGTCGAAAACGGGAATTATTCTATTTGGAAGAAAGATTTTATAATCAACTTTTAGCCCTAAGTTTAACTCTTAATATTCTGTGGTGATGATTACAAATTTATTATCTTAATCTGGACAGCAGACTAGTGGGATTGGTATCGGAATATAATGCGAATAACAAATGTTGGTATTTGAGATCGTAATGATCGATTTGGCATTTCTCTCAATTACACTATGGTTACACCATAGTAATTTTTTTATTTAATATTACTTTAACATTATAAAGATACCGAATTACTACGAATTGTTCTATCTTCTATATCATATATATGTACGAAATTTTAAAACACTACCTGTATAATTCAACTACAACCATAATTTATTATTTCTACTGTAAGTCGATGTAGGTTGCTGTTGGCATCAAGAGTTTTTTTTTGCATTGAATAGGATACTAATATATTTCGGGATTGTTTTGAGTAAGCTATTAGTACATAACGATCTGATATTAGTGATAGTTCAATGTTATTCTAGCTTATCTTTGATAAGTTTATACATAAAATAGTAATAACTATTATGTGTAAATAGGTACAATAATTGCTCATAGTATCAAATTCTTATTCCAAACCACAGATCACTTTGTTTGGTATTATTACGAAAACAACTCTTTAAAATAAGAGTTTCACTTTTTGCGCATCAATTCCTAAAATATGTTTTAAAAACTATGCAGCTGTCATCTTTACGTGTGATAGTCTATATTTTAACCTAAGCACATTTAATAAGAAATTGTAATTTGTATTGCTAATAATGATATTCTAAGTCATTCTAATTTTTAATAACGTTCCAATGTCGACTAATGCAAACATGACGATCAGCTTTTTCTCCCTCACACTAAAAGGGTTATTAGTAAAAAGGCAAAAGCAAAATAAATGTGGTTATTTTCAACTAACAAATTAATTAATGGTCAACAGCTGTTTTAGATTGTTATAGGTTTAGCTAACTCACGGGCCTGGCACAATTGATAAGAAAACAAATTAACAAAGATTTTTTTTATATTTCTCTTGGTACTATTACCGAGGCGATCCAAAACACATTTACAATAACTTAACATTGATATTTTGATAGAATCCATATTTTTAAGAGGAACATAATTATTAAGTAGATTTCCTTTATACCATAATAACGAACACCTACAGCAAGACTTGAAACCTGAGTTGAAATGTCAGTAGAATTCGTTAGAAAGATATTGTTTACCGTTTTTGCAACACAAAGCAAATGTGGCCTACCATTGATTTATTTGGACGGTATCTTAAACAATTTCCTTATAAACAATTTGGATTTATTTCGGAAAATTAGAAATCAAGTTTTCACAATCGATAACTGACTTCCAACATAAAAGTGCGTTCAGACTGTACTATATAGCATTAGCTTATAACCCATAGCACGATATCGCGCTCCATACATTTACATAGAACACGTTCACACCAAGCTATAATATATTGTATGGGATTGATAGACGCGATATTCTTTCTAGCGTAATAGTATAAATATCGTAGTCGGAACGTACTTTTATGTTCGAAGTAGCTCACTTAGAACTTTACCTATTGTGAAACAAGCCCTAATCAGATATAAAACGTCATAAATTGATTTATTAGAACTTATATGATGTGATCAGTCGTGCGGCATAAAAATTTAAATTATGATATTGAATAATTAAAAATATCATAAATGTCATGATTTAAAAAATACATTATAATAAAATTAATTTCTGACGATAAAAATATTATCAATATGTAAATTTTTCGTAGTTTTTGTGCATTTGTGGAAAATTAATATTGTTTTGCGTTTAAAGCTAAAAAAACGCCACACCAGGCTAAGGTTAATATTAAAAATACATACATAAGTATTTATTTTAGATCCAGCAGGTATTCCGGGAGAATCGACAATGAAATTAGTTCAACCGACATGTATATTCTATTAAGCTACATGAATATATTACTTTTAATAACCTCTTTTACTACAAAACATACTTGTCTATAAGGACGTTTAAACGATAAGACAATACAAAATAATACTAACTGAATTAAATATTAAAGAAGTTATGAAAACAAAAATATATTTTTATTTATATTGACATTTTATAATTATTACACTTACATTATTAGGTTTTTGAAATAACATTACAAAAATTGTAAGTCAAAATTGCGGGTGCATATCAACAGTAATTCCATCATAAATCAATTATGATAATACGGTCATCGTATGATGGCCACATATAGTTAAGCTAAACTTTTAGGATCGGATCCAAAGGACAGAAGATGTTTTTAATATGGAATTTGACTTATTACTGTGTCTTTGTTAAATTGAGACCAACTATTTACTAAATTCTTATTTGTTAGGCAATAATAAAACAGTATTCAAACCATATCAGATAAAAGATGATAAAAAACACTCCATGCTCGAAGATAATCTTATTTCCTATTATGCACCCGCAGTTTTGTTTATGAGGGATTTCATAGACTCCAGTGCCCGCACGTTCCACGTGAATCATACGGCACAATGAGTGAATCTTTGATTATATACACCCTAGATAGCGAAGATTAACTGCACAAAAACTATCTACTGCATATGGTAGATATGCTCGCCGGTACACACGCACAAATAAACTGCTTACTATTACGATCTGAAATTAGAGTCACGCTCACACTGCGCGAAAGTGAGCCGTTTTCTATGCGAGGTTTATATATATTGCTCTATCTAGACGTATAAATAATCAAAGGGGTCAGTAATGATTCATTCAGCTGACAGTCTGCAAAATCTTCAAGTGTGATCTTATTGACAGCTAATTACCTGTTTATTCTGATATTCGTCAGTGAGTAATTGGACACCGCATTCGCGCGCCGCGGCGATCGCGTCGCTTGTTTGCTACGTATTCTTGCGCGGGGCCGGGGGCAGGTCAAGTGAGGCGGAGGACTCGCGGCGCAGGATCAGCTTCAGTTTGTCGTCCTCCTCCAAGTCCTCCTCGACGGAGATGGCGCGGCTCATCTCTGTGTGGCCAAGTGAGCGCGATTTCCACGCCTCTAACCTCATAACCTACACCGTTACATTACGTTAGCGGCTGCTTTGTTGCACACGAGTGTCGCCCAGGCATCCCCGAGGTTATTTCCACTGGGGGAAAATGGGAATGAAGTCATTGCCCCTACTTCAGTTTATTCCCATTTGCCTCCGGTGGCAAACCCCGCGGGGGGGACTGGGAATAAAGGGAGCGTCGGCGCAAACTAGAAAATTTCCAGTGAAGCGGTAAACTTTAGATAACGAACAGTAAAATTGCTTTGCCTCCATTTTATTGGTGTGCGCTGACGGACAGGAGAAAAGGTATTTTCTATCTTACGCGTATCTTCCTTAAGGCAGAAAACATTATAAGTATTATCCGTAATAACAATAGTTTATCCCTCTGTCTAAAGAATTAGTAAACTAGGATTCCAATTAATTTAATCTCCAAACTAAATAACATCTACTACCTTATCTGCTGGGATAACCACGATAAAAAAATCAAGAATTAGATTACATTTAGAGCTGATAAATTTGTCGCGAGGGTTGTTTAAAAATATGGTAGTGATTTTGCTGTAAAATTAGGTATACTATCTATATGGATTTTTTTTGATATAAGAACTTAATTTGTAACACCTCTGTAGGTAGGGTTTTGCAAGATAATTGTCGTTAAAAACGATTTATTTAGGGACTACATAATATATATATATATATATATATAAACACAGTATACATAGGTAGTATGGAATTACTATTTAGTTGGAAACATGCCAATACATACAAAAAGTAAAATCTTCAATTCATAACCTATTGAGATATCTAAAACAACTACTTGCTCCCATCACCAAAATGTAAATAACAAATAAAGACTTTAATAGCAAGCCTAATTATAGTTTTTTATTTTATACGAAAAAAGCACAGAAGTCCTAGTTTATATATTCATGCTAAGCAGTGATAACTGGAATCATTGGATGTAATTATGTAAACTAAAGATATCCAAAACTCACTTCGTAAAACACAATACATAAAGTAAGGTAAAGCAAATTCAAAACAGTGCATGCCAAAATGAAAATATGCTAACCTGTACAATACTGATTTTAGATAAATTACAATTCATTGGGCTTCTTTCCTGACATGCACATCAAAACATGTAAGGTACTTCTTTAAACATTAAGTTATTTAAATAGCTGTCGTTGTGAAAGTTGTGAATTATTTGGTAATTTAGGTGGATATTAAGCTAGCAAATTTTCATGCTAATAATAACATGGATGATGTGAAATCCTATGTCATTTAACTGATAAGAAATCCCGCTTCGGAAATACACTTAACTGTATTATAATAGCACCGGAATTACATTAGCAAAAATAATATTCGAGAAATAAAAGTTGAATGCTCATTGCAAAGACAAAACACAAGAAGACAGGTTTATAACAAAAGTACAACGGTATTAAAAACTCTAGATACATCACGTGCGCTTAAAATATGTCCCAATCAAGAAGTGCTTGAACACCACTCAAGTACTTTCACAATCACGCGTGGACCGTTGAAAAGTCAAAATGCCGCAGAGCTCCGTGGAAAAATGCGAAAAATACTCATAGTATGTAGTGTCGTTTTTGGATAGGTATCTCTAATCAATGTTTGTTAATTTAACGCATTTGAAGCAAAATTTGTTCTTATACTTACTATAAACTGATTTAAATAGAAAATATTTGTTCAAATGCATGGTCTGTTGTGTTGCCGTCTCCTTTGCTCGCTTTGCGTACCTGCTATATTGCTAACAGCACATCAGAATTACGATTTAGCTTCATAGAAATAAAGTCAATATTCTTTCGCCTATTGCGACAAGACGAAAAATTTTACGAGCTTGCATTTCGAACTGTCATAACTCTTTGACGCATGTGTTTAAATGAAGACCTTATATACTAGGCATTAATGGTGACTTTGAATGTTTGAATAATGCCTTATATTGTTTTTAACTACCGGATTATCCCACGGAGCCCCGAGTATCGTCCAATGTACCTTTTCCACAGATTTCGGCCTCGCTTTTGTTCGTGATCGGATCTAGTGTATTAAATATCGTTGGAAAAATATGTCAAATATAACAAAAGGGAAGCCGGTGCAACGATTCTGATTACACAAACGTTCACAAGCGACTAATACAACTGGCAATCCTCTAATTCATGTACTCATGTAATAAATCCACTTAATAGTGATAATATTGTGAAGTGTGATGCCTACTACAAAAACGTATGTTAGACGAGCGCGTGTGATATTGTACTTGAATGTGATTAGTTTAAAGTACACGCACCATTTGGACTCTCATAATTCTAAGACATGGTACATATTCTTACAATGTTTTATATAAGAAAGAACAGATTAATTCAACCAAGACTCGTCTCTAATATTAAATTTATTTTTATAGAACCACTAGCTTTTTCCCGCGACTTCGTCCGCGTGGACTTAGTAATTCAGGCAGCAAATTTGACTAAATCTGTTTTATTATCAATCTGCTTACTATTTTAAAAATATAAAGTAAGTGGTTTTATATTTGAAAACATAAATAGCGCAAATTTATGATCCAGTAATATTGTAAAAATATACATAAATCCTAATGTGGCTCAGATCACTTTCAGGTAAAAGTATCTGTGCACTACAGTAACAGTAAAAGGTCTGATAACGCCCAATTACCGATTATAAATGTTGAAGTCCTTTGAAAGACAGAACTGTGTTAAACATTGACGATGCAGTAGATAAATCATTCAGTAGAGTTCTCAAACACTTTGAATTTAATACAACTGGTATTCCATATCACAAACTTTTACTACTTTTTGATACGATTATCCTATTTACCTCAAATTAAACTTTGTTGTGAATTTGTTATTAAAAGTTAGATAACTAAATATTACAACAGGAGGGGTAAGGTAGAAGGCGGTTTGAGAGTTTGTCCCTGCGACTTATTTATGGTCATTGCTGAATGTGTTGACTTGCAACCTAGTACCATTGCAGTTTGGGTGACTTTAAATTTCTTAATAACATAACAGGTGTACCGACACGCTGTAAAAGTCTATGGTATGGTAGGCCAGATGGCTTTTCAAAGTGTTTAATAACTGTACCGTCACCTTACAAGATTGCCCAACTAATCGATCTTTGCCCAGCAGGGTACTTTTTACAAATATAAAACAAACCGGCAACATTCTTTAGTTGCGTCTATTATTTAATCTATGTAAGAAATTTCAACATGTCTCTGGCAATATTACGTAACTGATTTTTCTTTATTGCACTTCAGTCGGCTGTCAAACAGTTTCCAAACCGTGGTTTTTGCGGGCCAAAAGTTGAGTGAAAAACTTTTCGTAAAATTTTATTTATATTATTATCACAGCAAATATAAGTTTTTAACCATTGTTGTTTTGTAATAAATAATCATAAATGATCGTACATCCAACGCGAAGTCTCTCTTAAATTCGAAAATATGATGGCGGGCAATCTCAAATTAGTTTTTCTATCGTAGTTGTTACGACTTTGCCCACCATATACTATACTATACTACACTATACTATACTATATAATATCACCGTAAGGGTTGTCACCTCAATCTTAAATTAGATCTAAGAAGATTAGATGTAAAACAAAGTAACTACTTAGGTACTTTGTTTTACAGTAACTTTGGAACTACGTTAGTAATGCTTTGTAAACTCTTTGTATAAAATGAATTGCAATAATTATTAAACCACGCATTGATAAAAACGCAAATTTTGTTGCAAAAGTGCAACAAATTTTGCGTAATGCAATGCAACCACCAACCACTTGCTAATGCTAGCCACCTTAAACACAAAATTACTAAAAGAGGCTTAAAAAGTAGAAATAAAATATTGAAATTATGCTTTACAAAATTATTTATGGCTTATTTAAGATATTTATTCATTCTGCTACGTCTAATCTAAAGGATTTTAGGAATTTTGTTTTATAGGCTTTCTGTTTTCTACATGATATACTTAATGTTTTTAGACGTTTTGCTTCATAGAAATTCTGCATTTTAAAACATTGATTTTAGGCGATTTGCTTTATAGACGTTCTGCAAATTAGGCTTTGTGACCATAATAGAAAAAAAACCTATTACATAGGTACTTAGATATGATAAGGAGTTGCTATTGATCTAAAGTGTTAGATATATCGTTAATTTTTGAAAGCTTTATCTTGAATATAGTTTTATATCACTTTATAGTCAATATTCCTATTATATATATTCAAGTTTTATATTAATCTTATATATTGTTTGCATTATAACTAATAAGCATTTGCTTTAAACCGTGATTGCTGAAACTAATATAAAAAATTCAGCAATCACGTTTTAAAGCAAATGCTTCTTAGTACGCAGGTACATACCTGCGAACCCCTCTGTACTGATTAAGAATAAAAAGTGACAACCCTAGTTGATCGATTTATTTGTATGAAAATCACAAAATAAAATTTGCGACTTTGCCCACTCAAATTTGATAGGTAATAAGATTTTATACGTTTATTATGAAGGTCCTATCACAGATTGACTATTTTTTTAAAATAGTCCTTAATCTCAATTATTTTAAAGTTAAAAATACTGAAGCTACGAAGGTTTTCGCAAAATGGGCAAACTTGTAAAAAATTATAAATATGTATTTGGCCCGCTGTCCAAATTGAGATTTTTAGCACATAGAGATTCATTTTCTTGTTACTATCGTCATTCTATGCAAAGAGTATTGCATTTATGAACGATTTAGCATGATCACAAATTAAAAGTATTATTATTTGAAAAAATATTTCAAGTGGAACAAAAAATATGGGCAAAGTTGTACAGTTTTACGGTACTGGATAATTAACGTCATGGTCAGTGTTTACCTCAGTATCTATTGAGTTATAAACAATCTATTGTCCTTTAAAGGAGTTCAGAAATATGTCATTATTGACCGCTGCTTGGTCGTTCTTTAGGATTAGTAGCTCTTTCCCATAACCACTCTATTGATTTTTCCCAGTCGAGCACAACATCTGGATAAATTTTTGAAATCAGG